TATTGAATAATTTTTACTCACAAAAACTCTATGAAGAACATACTCATTTTACAGTTATAAATCCTACCATTAACTTGAACTACACAGAATCATGCTGTCAGTCTGCCAAAATGGTCTTTTATAATTGTCAATGTTCCTATTAGTTATTTAAGGGAGGGAGTTCTGGGGACAAAAGTTAAATTGTTAAAATCCCTACTCTACTTTTCTTATGGTAGTAAATATGAGCACATTACAGATAGGAATAAAATACAAAGCCTTAATTTCTATATTTTTATTTAAAAACTTTCATTAATCTCAGTTTTAAGCAAAAGCATGTGTCCATTTGATATGCAGTACTTAAAGGAGCATCCTCTGACCTCAAATTTTGGTCAAATTTTTTATAAATATATGAAAAAATAAGCCCTAGCTGGTTTGTCTCAGTGGATAGAGCATCAGCCTGTGGACTGAAGGATCTCAGGTTCGATTCCGGTCAAGGGCACATGCCTGGGTTGTGGGCTTGATCCCTAGTAGGAGACGTGCAAGAGGCAGCCAATCAATGATTCTCTCTCATCATTGATGTTTCTATCTCTTTCCCTCTCCCTTCCTCTGTGAAATTAATAAAGATATATTTTTTTAAAAGTTAAGTGCTCTATGCAAAGCCAAAGAAGCTTAAAACAAAAAGGATATATTCACTATAGAAACTAAGTAACATCTTATTATTTAAAAGTATATGTTTATTGTAGATCATTTGAAAAACACAAAGCTAAAAAATTTTTCTAGAGAAACTCAGTTAACATCGCAGTATATTTTCTTACTAAATTTTTTTCTAATTTTAACTAATAGTACAAGAGCATTTTTCTATGTCACTAAATATTCTAAATTATTACTTTAAAAAATGGTTGCATATATCACCAGCCCATAATAAATTTACTATAATAATATTTCAGTTTCTAATTATAACTATGTTACCAATTTATTACTATGAATAATGAACTTATGCACACACTTTAATACATACCTGATTATTCCATTAAAGTAAATCCCTTTAAGTAGAATTGCTGGATCAGAAGGCATAAACCTTTAAAGTTATTTTTTTTTAATTATTTTTATTGATTTCAGAGAGGAAGGGAGAGGGAGAGATAGAAACATCAATGATGAGAGAGAACCATCGATTGGCTGCCTCCTGCAGATCCCACACTGGGGATCGAGCCTGCAACCCAGGCATGTGCCCCCGACCAGAATCGAACCTGGGACCCTTCAGTCCACAGGCCGACGCTCTATCCACTGAGCCAAACCAGCTAGGGCTAAAGTTATTTTTATACAAAGAATAACTGACCTATAAAACACTGTTCAACTATATGTCCCAATCAGTAGTAAGAGAGTTCCTGCTTTCCTGCACTCTCAATATGAGGCATCATTATGAAAAACTTAGCCAACACAGTCAGGCAATGAGTACTAAATCCTTTAAACTTATGGTTCAATGTTTATTAGTGAGTATAAAAGATTTTTGCATTTTTTTTTTTGGCCACTTGAACTCTTTGCCCACTTTTCTACTGAAATGTACATTGGTTTGTAAAAATTCTTTCTAAATTAGGGATACTAACTCTAACTGCACTATCCAATAGAGTAGTCACTGTTCATTGAGCACTTGAAATGTGGCTACTCTGAACTAAGAGGTGCTGTAAGTGTAAGATACACACTGGACTTCAACAATTTAGTACAAAAAGATAATGTAGCCCTAGCCGGTTTGGTTCAGTAGATAGAGCGTTGGCCTGTGGACTGAAGGGTCTACATGCCTGGGTTGTGGGCTCGGTCCCCGGTAAGGGGTGTGCAGAAGGCGGCCAATCAATGATTCCCGCTCATCATTGATGTTTCTATCTCTCTCTTCCTCTCCCTTCCTCTCTGAAATCAATAAAAATATTTTTTAAAAAGATAATGTAAAATACCTCAATAATTTTTATATTGATTACATGTTGAAATATTTTGAATATACTGGATAAAATAAAGTTAATTTCCTCTCTTTATTTTTTAAAATATGGCTATCAGATAACTGAAAATTACATACATGACTCACATATTTCTTTTGGACAGTACTGCTCTAGAATACTGTTTTCCTTTCACCTTTAAATATTTTCCAGGTTAGTTTGACAGTTATTTCTCACTTTAAGTATGCAAATGAAGCAATTGTTTCCCTCAAGGTTTCCTCCTCTCCTTACTCTTCATACGTTTTTCCCAACCCCATATTCTCCCACACAAGAACTTTATAAGCATACACTAAACTTTATTTCTTGACAAAAAAGTATGTTTTTAGAATTTTTCCCAAAAGTTCTTCAAATACTGTTTTCTTCTTACACTTAAACAGTACTCTTTTTCTAAATTATTTTTAAATTTTACCATACTTATGGTAGCCCTTTTAAAACAGTTTCAGTACTACTGAAACTAAATTTTCACAAACAAGATTATTTTTAAAACCCACTAAGTGTTTTTAAGTGTGAAAACACATTTTAATAATAAACATTCCAAAGAACTCTGCCAAGTCATTCTGACTGGTGAGATAGGAAATTATTATTTATGGTTCCCAGATGATAAGAGAACATAATTTTTGACATGACAGTTACAGAGAATAGAATTACATATTACACTATTTCAACTCCTTTTAACCAACATTTAAAGGGCAGTTTTTCCTAAATTCAACAGCCACTACAGCTAATTTAAATGCAAAGTACAGAAATTATGTGGTCAATAGAAGCAATGCTACAAAGTTTACTTGAGTATTTCTTGTTGTTCTTCATCCTCACCCGGGGATATTTTTCCATTAACTTTTAGACAGTGGAAGGGAGAGGGAGAGGCAGAAAGAGAAACATCAATGTGAGAAAGACACATCGATTGGTTGCCTCCTGCAGGGGCCTGGTGGGGACTGAGCCTGCAACTGAGTTATGTGCCCTTGACTGGAATCCAACCCCGGACACTTCAGTCTGCAGGCCGATGCTCTAACCACTGAGCAAAACCTGCTCGGGCTTATTTGGGTATTTTAAAGTGAGTATAACCAAATGATTCATCCTGCTCATAAGAGAATCAGGTATATTGCCAATATAAAAAACTCAACAATTATACTTTCCATCACCACCAAAAAGCCTCAAGAACATTTCTGAAAATTTAAGAGCCCACTTTTACATTTATTGCCAATAAAAAAATACAAATGTATTATTTCACAGCATAGGCGTTACCAGAGCTTGTATTATACACTAGTGGCCCAGTGCACAAAATTCGTGCGGGGGGGGGGGGGGGGGGGGGGGGCGGCCCTCAGCCCAGCCTGCACCCTATCCATTCTGGGACCCCTCAGGGGATGTTCGACTGCTGGTTTAGGCCCCATCCCACAGGGACTGTTGGCTCCTAACCACTCCCCTGCCTGCCTGATCACCCCTAACCACTCTGCCTGCCAGCCTGCTCGCCCCCCAACTGCCCCCCAGTTGCCCTCAACTCCCCCCCCCCCCCACAGGCCTGATCGCCGCCCCAACTGCCCTCCCCTCCTGGCTTGATTGCCCCTAACCGCCTCTGTCTCTGCCAGGCCACCATGGCTTTGTCCAAAAGGACATCCAGAAAGTCTCCCAGTCTAATTAGCATATTATCCTTTTATCAGTATAGATTTGAATAACTTGACTACAAATTCTATTGCCAGGTCACAAACATCCTACAAGTGTTTCAAACATGAATTTTTGAAAAATGTTTCTGCAAATACTGTTTGCATCCTCGGGAATCTGGAGGATTAGATTAAGGGTGGGTTTGGTTCAGTCTCCGCCCTCATTGTTTCTATCTCAGTTTTCAAGTGTCACGCTATGGCTGGCCAATCTATGGCCAAAAGCGAGGTAAACCTGATTAAAACTTACAAGCTCAAAGCTATTTTGGAAACGATCGGACAATCTGAATTAGAAACGAATGTTGAAGTAGAGGGATAAAAATTACAGCCCCGGTAGATACTTTTTCACCAAAAGGATTGTTGAACGGAACTGAAGCGTTCTTTTGTTTTTCCGCCAAAAATTGGGCTCAATTCAAAGACGGTGAGATGGCCATAGCCTCATACTTCTGAATGACTCGCAAATGTCAAATTGCAACCCCGCGCGCCTTCATCCTTGTAGGAAATGTAAGAAAACAAGCTGGGGATACGAGACAGGAGCCGGGCAGGAAAACCTATTCCGCTACAACGCAGGTGAGTCGGGGAGCTCGAAAGCCCTGGAAGCCTGAGGAGCCGGTCACTTCCCACGAGGCTGCCTGGGGGTGCGAGGAGAGCGGTCACTGCCGGCACCGCGATGTGCACTCAATGCTTGATTAGCTGCAAAGCGGGCGGCTTCAAGGTGGCGACCCTGTCCGCAAGCTCTGCGAGCCCTGACCAGTGCTAGGACCGGAGGCGACACCAGGGTCACCAAGGCCAGTCAGGAGCCCCCCTGGCGGGCGGGCCCCACTGCAGAGGCGGAGACCCGAAAGGCTGGGGGCTGGGAGAGGGATCGCGGGCGCGCGGCCCGAGGAGAGGCGCCCAGCTCCGCCTGCTCCTCCAGCCCGGCTTCCGCGGAACCGGCGGCCGCCGGGGCGCGACACTCACCCTGGAGCCCGCCGGAGCCGCGGGCCGCCGCCCCGCCGCGCAGACGGAGCCGGCACAGGGAGGCCCAGCCCCGTCCGTGGGCCGCAGCGGCGGCGGCCAAGCCCGGCAACATCCTGACGGGGCAGAGGCCCCTACTCGGACTGCGTCTCCTTCCGCCGCGCCACCAGCGGCACCAGCGGACTCCATAGACCGGGTACCGGCGAGCGACGACGCCTGCGCCGCCACCGGCGGCTTCAGGGACCCGGAAGTGACAACGTCATTTATTAACGCCGGCGCGGACGCAGCGGAAAGTGACGTCACGCGGAGCGCGAATCGCGAGGTTCTGAGTCGGGGCCTGGACTGGGCCGCTGTGGGGAGGGTCCTGGACTGGGCCGCTGTGGGGAGGGCGTGGCTGCAGGTGAATTTGGGTGTGTATTCTTTTTTTTTTTTTTTAATGTATCTTATTGCTGAAAGTATCACAGATGTCCCCTTTTCTGCCCATTGACCCCTCCACCCCAGCCCCGCCCCCCGGGTGTGTGTGCTTCTTGTCTCCTCCGCGCCTGCACGTTCACTCCTTGCCTTGAAATCGTCGCCTAAGTTGTGGACGTTCTTAACAGTCAAGAAAGCCTGAGAGAAGCGCCAGCCTGTGGGGCTTTTGCTTGCTTTTTTACTTTTTTCCGAACTCGAGACCCGGGCCAGGTGTTGTAGGTAGGAAGGAAGGACGGACGGACGCTGTCTTCTGATTCTCCCTCCCGTGCCTTCCCGGGTAAGTCCCAGAGGAGGCCGGCATGTCTTCGGTGCTGCCTTCGGTGCTGCCCGAACCTTCACCGGAGCCCGTCGTTCTTCGCCTGTAATGCCTTTTCGTACCCAGTACCACGAAGGCAGGACCGGCTTCGGAATCAGTTACCTGCCCTACTAACCTTTGAACCGCAGATTCTCGTCTGTAATACAGTAAAGAATTTTATAAATTCGAGATGTGTCTGCAATATCGAGATGTGCAGACATCGACAGCAGGAATCAGTCTGGGCCCAGAGAGAGAGAGTCCGCCCAATATTCACCGTGGCGTTAACCGTGTTTCTCTCTGACATGTTTATCTCTGTGTTTATCTTCTCCAGGTTTTAGCTCAAACTTAAGAGAGACCTTCCTCGACCACTCTTGCTGGTCAGGCTTCGTTGTTCTCTGCCTTGTCGCCCTGTATACATTCCAAGACACTTATAACTATGTGAAAGTATCTATTTTATTTTCTGTCTCAAAATAGAAAATAAAGTGTCATGATGCTGGAATCTTGTGTTTTGTACATTGCCGTTTTCCAGGGGTTAAAACAATGTGTGGCACAAATAAAGTGGTTGAATGGAATGCACAGTAGTTTGTTTTCAAATTAATCTCGGTCACTTAACTATATTACTACACGATAGCTATTTCAAGGGGAAATTAATGAGCCTATTCCTAATTTTAAAAGAATCAACAGCCTTAAACAGACTGAGATAAGTAAAGCCAAATTAGTGAAGTCATGGTGATTAAATTACCACAAGATTGGTAAGCAAATTTAACTTCCTAAGGCAAACATAATTTAAACATTAAGTGGTCAAACATTGAAAAGTGCTGTTCACCACCATATGTTCTTTCCTTTCAGCATCTCCCATACTCACTTCCTCATGCTATCCGTTGAGCTGATCTCACCCACACCTGCCAGGCGGGGGTCAGGCAAACCCACTATGGACTGTAAAACTAAATGCACTATACTTAGCACCAGGGCAAGGTCCAAGTGGATGAGTTGCCTGGGCAGCCACAGTGTGCCCCACTGCTCCCCCAGACATGCTTGGGTCCCACTTTTCTTTCTGGCTCCCTAGGAGGGCCTTTCTGTCTGACCCTCAGAGATCCTGGCCCTGAGATTGGCTTCTGTTGTGGGCTGAAATGTGCCATCCCCCCAACTTCATATGTTGAAGCCCAAACTGCCATCACATCAGAATATGACTGTATTTGGAGACAGGGCCTTTTAAGTGGTGATTAAGTTAAAATGAGGTCATTAGAGTGGGTCCTAATCACATCTGACTGGTATCCTTAGCAGAAGAGGAGATTTGGACATCCAAAGAAACACCAGGGACGTGCACACACAGCGGGAAGACTATGCAAGGCACAGTGAGAAGGCATCCATCTACAAGCCAAGGAGAGGCCTCATCAAAACCAAACTTGCCACACCTTGATCTTGGACTTTCAGCCTCCAGAACTGTGAGGAAATACATTTTCTGTTGTTGAAAACACCCAGTCTGTTGATATTTTGTTCTGGTAAAACAAGCAAATTAATAGACATTACAGCTGGCCTTTGACTGTTTTCTGTTACTACTACTAATAATGAAAATAACAGTTAACCTTTATTACATATCTAAAAAAATGCTGTCCCATAAATATTTATAATCTGACATTGGCTCAAATATCTGAATATTACTATTACGATAGACTCTACCAGTAATTCAACTTTATGATATAAAATACATAAGGGCTCAACTCTTAATCTTATGGTAACTATGTAAATATCACTAGCCTTTGCTATAATGCTATTTAAATTCTTACAAATAGCCCCTGGTTTCAACTATCATTTAATCACACTGATCAAAGCTTCTTAGAGTCTATTATGTACTATATTGATTTCAGAGAGAGAGGAAGAGAGAAGGAGAGAGAGAAACATCGATTGACTGCCTCCCGCACCCCTAACTGAGAATTGAACTGGTGACCTTTTGTGGCGACACTCAATTGAGACACACTGGCCAGGGTTTCCTCTTCTTTTTGCCTCAAATATCTATACAAGTGGGATAGGACAGGCCTAGATTCTTGCTCTATTTTATTTTCAACCTTCTGTGAACCCATCTTCCAAATATTTCAACAGCATGGACATCTTCATTAGAGTTTCATTGTTCCCACTAACTCTAGTACACTTTCTCCTGACACCTCCAACATTCCTTGTCATTGGGTAGCTTGCTGGAAACTTTCATCTGACATGTATCAGATTTCTGTGAAAGTTTACACCAAATATCCAGGCCTTTATTTTATAGCTTGATTTTTAAATTAAAAAGTAGGTTGAATTGAGTTGATTCTGGTATTAATTTTGGTTACATTTACTTCTGGACACAAACAGCTACAGAGAAATTTGAGACAAGGGGGTGGGGTCGGGGGAGAGGGAAGAAGCCTGACCCTGCCTTGTTTCCTGGTTAAGAAGGAGCCAGCTTTGGAGAAGGGAAGCCAAAGCATGGTTTGTAACAAGCTGAATAGATGCCCTTGAAAGCTGAGGCCCGCACGATGCCCATGAAATAGTAAACAAGCTTGACTGTGCTTTTGGCTTATTTACAATAATGAGTAAATCAATTAAGAATTTCAAATTTCTCTTTTTACTTAAAAAGAAGTAGGCTATTAAGAGCCATAAGACTTTCCAAAGAATTTGGGGTAAATGGGAGAATTTAACAAATAAAAAAGTACTAAATAAACAAAAGAAAATCTTAAAATAAGCAGCAAAAGAATAATTACTTAACCCACATGGCTGTGACAAATGAAAGGCCAGAGTACAAAAAAATAATGTTTCTCATCGATGTTTCTAACTCTCTATCTCTCTCCCTTCCTCTCTGTAAAAAATCAATAAAAGTATATTAAAAAAAAAGAATTTGGGGTAAATGGGAGAATTTAACAAATAAAAAAGAACTAAATAAACAAAAGAAAATCTTAAAGTAAGCAGCAAAAATATAATTACTTAACCCACATGGCTGTGACAAATGAAAGGCCAGAGTACAAAAAAATAATTACTTATTAACTTGCACTGTAGCATCTGCTACATGTTATTTCAGCAACTGAATTATGCAGTGATGACTTAGAATTCTAAACTTAAGTATCTAATAATTTAGCAGTCATTCCTGTTCCATACTTGCAAAAAAAAAAAGAATACATTTTATTGAAAAAGTGGTTAAATAGTATCACGGCTAGTCATAGAATCTAATACTGTATACTAGTACATTCAAACTGGCCAGCAGCTGCTCACTGACCTCATTGTTGAATACAGTGGTTTTTATGGTAACAAGTGACAAGCTCTGAGAAGGTTCAATATTTTACACCATCGCTATTTTTTTTCTGATAATGGGCTTTTACTCTTATTCCTTTTCCATAAGTAAAGAAAGCATCAAATTATTTAGTCACTGCATCCCCAGCCAAGAAGTACAAGTCTCTGATGGAAACTGTACTCTAGACAGTGGGTTTTGGCTATTTATGAGGATGTCAAAAGAGAAAATATGCAGCTGATAAAGCCTAGAACCAAGGTTAGCATAATGCTCTCCAGTTCCATCCATGCTGTTGCAAATGGTAAGAATTCCTTCTTTTTTACAGCAGTGTAGTATCCCATTGTGTAGACATACCACAGTTTTCTAATCTACTCATCTGCTGATGGGCACTTAGGCTGTTTCCAAATCTTAGCTATTGTAAATTGTGCTGCTATGAACACAGGGGTGCATATATCCTTTCTGATTGGTGTTTCTGTTTTTTTGAGATATATTCCTAGAAGTGGGATTATTGAGTCAAATGGGAGTTCCATTTTTAATTTTTTGAGGAAACTCCATACTGTTTCCACAGTGGCTGCACCAGTCTGCATTCCCACTAGCGGTGCACGATGGTTCCTTTTTCTCCACATCCTCACCAGCACTTGTCGTTTGTTGATTTACTGATAATAGCCATTCTGACAGGTGTGAGATGGTACCACACTTCTATTTTTTAAAAAGCAACAACAACAAAAAAACACACCCTTCTATTAATGTAACCTCTAGAATTCAGTGTTCTAGAAAATATAAAGGAATGGCAGGGAAGAACACCCCATCCCATCATACATGAATAATTTTCATTTTATATTGCTCTATTTTTCAGAAGAATGAACAGACATGAAGAGTGGTTAAATGTATTATCCATGGTCATAGATTTGTGTGAAGTAGTTAACTACTGAAACCTGGTTCTGACCCTTATTCTATGCTCTTACCATTATATTACAACTACAGAACCAGTGGATGAAATTTGTGCATGGGGAGGGGGGGGTCCCTCAGCCCAGCCTGCACCCTCTCTAATCCGGGGCCCCTCGGGGGATGTCCGACTGCCTCTCGGAATCCGGGACTGCTGGCTCCTAACCACTTGCCTGTCTGCCTGCCTGATTGCCCGTAACCCCTCTGCCTGCCTGCCTGATCACCCCTAACCACCTCTGCCTGCCCGGCCTAATCACCCCTAACTGCTCCCCTACTAGCCTGATCTCCCCTAACTGCTCCCCTGCTGGCCTGATCGCCCCTAACCGCCTCTGCCTTGCCCTGCACCCGGGACCCAGGATTCCCTCCTCCGGCTGGTCAAGGCACCCGGGACCTGGGCTTCCCTCCGTCTGGTTGGCCACAGGTACCCAGGACCCAGGCGGGCTTCACCCGGGCTGGCCGCCTGCCACAGGGGACCGTGGCAGGCGGCTTCGCCCGGGCCGCAGCTGCAGATGCCCATGACCGTGGGACGGGCGGCTTGTCCCTTTTTCCAGGGCGCAGACACAGGCGCAGGCGCTGATGTCTGGGTCCATGGGGCATGCAGCTTGTCCCTCTCCCAGGCCGTAGCCCCAGCCTCTGGTGCCTGGAACCACAGGGCGGGCAGCTTGTCCCTTTCCCAGCCACAGGCGCAGGCACAGCCGCTGGCACCTGGATCTGTGGGGCAGGCGGCTTGTCCCTGTACCAGACTGCAGCCTGGCTGGTCCCCATTCCTCTCTCCCCAGTGTTGAGTGTCTGAGCCATTACGGCGTGATGGCATGAGGGCGTGACGACCATTTGCATATTACCTCTTTATTCTATAGGATATCCTGTAATCTTCAAAATTTAAACTTTCCTTGACAATTAAAAAATTTACAGCACCTGGGTAGGGGAGAAAATGGGATATGGTCAACACTACAAATATCAATTAGTACTCAACAATACCTGGAAAATAATTTGTTATTTTCTAACTGTTTGGGATATAAATAATTGGGAAATTATGATAACAACTACTCAATTTATTCAGTAAAGCACTCCATACAATTGTTCTAAATTACAAATCATAACAGCCAAAATGTTTTGAGCCCTTTTATCTGAAGCACTATTTTAAAACTCTATATGGTTGGCTCATTTTGTCATCTCACAATGTATGCGGTAATATCACCATTTTATAGGAGAAACAGAGATCACACAGCTAAGAAGTGACTGAACCCTACAGTTTGGCCAAGCTCTTGTGCCTTCCTGATGATATTCTTATTTCCTCTACTTCCTAGGTGTCTCACTTAGGATAAGAATCAAGTCACTCCTCATTTTTGGCAGATTCCCTAAAGAAGACAGAATTGTAATTCTGGGCTTCATTCTGTGCACATTATAGATAAATTTAGTTTTGAGCATTTTATAGACTATTTTTGCATTTTATGCATTCATTTGGGGAAGTTTACAAAAGCATGTACTGAAGGGGACTTTTAATCAGTTACTGATTTTGAAGATGTACTTCTGGAAGAGCTCTTGTTACAGAAACTGATCTGATTTTGCTATTAATAAGTAATAGCACTTTTGCTTTCTGTCCCTGGAATTTACCTGAGAGTGAAAAAAAGCAACTGTCAACACAAGGTTGTGTACTTTACTGAGGGAAAGGGGAAAAAAAATTCTCTTAACAGGTCCAAAGTTTCTTTTTTGCACAGAAAAGTATTGACATAAAGCATAGCAACATAAGTTTAAACCACTACTGATTCATCAAGTAGGGAAGTTCTTTAAATTTCAAGAGTCTCAGAATCTCCTAAGGTAAAATGAGAAGCATATTATAAAGTGTAGCTATTCACCTTCAACAATTCTCAACATAATTCTATGCTGGCCACATTCTACGAATGAAGAAATTGAAGGCCAGTGAAACAAAAAGAATGTGTACAGGTTGGAGGCACCACTGTGGGCTTCCTGACATTATCCTGATGCCATATTATATTTGTAACATTTGAGCTGAGACATCCTGAATTTTAAAAGAGCCCAGAGAATGTGGTAAAACATTTATTTACTTTTCCCATGGAGTCTCTTATCAGATCACAGAGTCTACCTCAAATAGATAGTAGTTTCCTTTCTCTCTTGGCTCCTTGCCTTTCTACCATCTTCTTCCCTCTACCCATCCAATCTTCCAAATCTTTTCCTGCCCTCTGTCTCCCATTAGGTTCCCATCTCCATGTTGAGGGGCAATAAAGGATCATTCAGGTGCCATCTATCTTTGGAGAAACTTTTGGGTACTTCAGATTCTTCAGAATAAAACCCTACCCAACAAACCTTTCTCTGAATGCTTACTGATTCTCAAATCTCAAAGCCCAACTTTGGACTGATTTGTTTCTGCTAGCAGGGTGAACTAGACACACTAGAAATAATCTTTCAGCTAAAATCAACCAAAAATATGTTAAACTAGAGGCTTGGTGCACGAATTCGTATACAGGTGGGGTCCCTCAGCCTGGCTGGCGATCGGAGCCGATCGGGGCTGTCTTGCCCAGTCCTGATCAGGGCTATCAGGGCCGGCTGGCTGGGGGGAGGGACCACAAGATGTCCAGCTGTGGGAGGTTGGTTGTGGGAACGCACTGACCACCAGAGGGCAGCTCCTGCGTTGAGCGTCTGCCCCCTGGTGGCCAGTGCACGTCATAGCTACCAGCCAGTCATCTGGTTATAACGGTCGCTTAGGCTTTTATATATATACTAGAGGCCTGGTGCACAAAAATTTGTGCACTCGGGGGGGAGGGGGGGTCCCTCAGCCCGGCCTGTGCCCTCTCGCAGTCTGGGACCCCTCGGGAGATAACGACCTGCTGGCTTAGGCCTGCTCCCGGGTGGCAGAGGGCAGGCCCAATCCCTAGGTGCAGCCCCTGGTTGGGCTCAGAGCAGGGCGGATCGGGAGGTTGCGATGCCACCCTCAGTCACGCTCAGGGTAGGGCCAATTGGGGGGTTGGGGCCCCGCCCCCTGTCACACTCAAGGCAGGGTCGATGGGGAGATTGCGGCTTCACCCCTGTCATGCACAGAGTAGGGCCCATCACGGGGGTTGGGGCTCGTACCCTGTCACACACAGAGCAGGGCCCATCAGGGGATTGGGGAGCTCCCCCCTGTCACTCACAGAGCAGGGCCGATAGGGGAGTTGGGGCACTGCCCCTTGTCAAACACAGAGCAGGGCAGATAAGGGGGTTGGGGCGCCGACCATATAAACTCAGGGAGGGGCGATGGGGAGGTATGGTTCTACCCATCACAAAAGAGAAGGCCCGTGGGGGGGGGGGGGGGGGGGGGGCCGGACCTGGTCCAAAAAGAAATTGGGGGGGGAACAGGGGGGGTGGGGGGACTCCACCCCAATCAGGGCAAAAAAAAAGGG